CCACGTCTGTATTGGGCCCCACAGAACCAGCTGTGGGTGCCAAGTGCACAGAATGGATATTCTACCAGGCAGAACATTTAAAAAAAAAAAAAGAGCAGGCGTATAGACAGAGGTGACCGTGCCAGGAATATGGTTTCAGCTTGAGAGGGTGGCAGAGAGAGAAACTCCGGAAGATAACAGTGCTGAAGTTGAAGCTCCCAAACCTGGTGCAATCGGTTTACAAAGGAACCAACCGGCCAACGCATCCAATGCGGGACACGTTCGAGCGGAACAGCCGCGCGTCTCGTGGACCTGGGCTCGCACCCGCTCTGAAGTATCTCAAGTACCGATAATGCTCGCTGCATCCTCAAGAGACACTACAAGGAGCTCTCAGCCAAAACTGGCTGCCCAAAGCAAGTGGGAATCTCTGCTAGAGAGCAAAGGAAGAGAGAGAAAGGATCCCTAATACTTTTGGGGATACAAAATAAAGGGGGGGAAAAAAAGCCCCTTTTGAAATAAAAGAAGTGTTACATTCTCCGAAAATGAAGCAAAATCCCCAGAGAAAATCTGGATGTATGCAGCAAAGGCAACCGCCGAGGGGTTCGAGATTGAAATAAGGGGGTTAAAAAGATCTAACAGACACAGGTCAGAGAGACGTGAGACAAAAGCAAGAGCTGACACCCTGGAGACAGATGAAATGGGAGCCATCCCTAAGCCCCTTTGTTGAGAACACAGCAATAAAGCCGTAATGCACAATTCCGGTCCACCTTCCTAAAAACGTACAAACAGCATCTGTAAACTTTGGTTTAAAACAATAACTTAAAAGTCAAAAGAAAGCAAGTGATGGATAGGGAAAAAAACTCTGCGGGCATCTCTTTTTGGGCTGGCAGGTGGGACAGAGCAAAGTGAACGTGCACACACACAAAAGAAGTTTAAAGGAAAAGTTTTGGTTTATGCTTCCGGCCCAGGAAAAGGTCTTTGGTCAACAGTTATGCCAATTGCAAAACAGCCTGTACAGGGAGCTGGGGAGGGATTTAAGAGTGGTCTCAAGCTGAAAAGGATAGGCCAGGTGTGTGTGGGGGGGGAACCTGGTTAGATTCTCAAAGGTCCCTATTCCCTAGCTGTCTCTGGAATTGAATTGTGCCCGAAGGAATGCAGAGAAGCTCAGGAGGGGAGCTGAGGTTTTATTCTCAGTTTCTACACTTCATCAGCAGGTTGTCTATCAAACATGGTCACCTTTGTATTTTTACAAGGGGGGAGGCCTGGGGATCAAGCTTGCTTTGCATGGCTATTCCAGTCTCCCTAGAGGGCTCCAAACAAGCAGCTGGATATGGAGTAGTATTAGGAATTCTACTGCCTTCTTCCATTAGCCCCAACCCTTCTGGGACTGCCCCTCCCACTCCCGCCTTTCCACACAGATGTGAAGGACTCGGTTTCTGTAAGGCATCTTCTCCCCTCTTTACCCCCCTGGACAGAACTTTCCAATCTCTCTGCAGTTTCAGAGAGACATGACTGGGAAGCAGTGGAACGGGGGAAAACTCGCATGTTCAGGGGAGACATCTAGTGTGGGCTCTGGGGAATGCTGGCAGCAATTCTGATCTGGGACTGTGGCATTTCTTTCATGCATTCCAGCTGCAAGAATAAGAGACTGTTTTTCACTCCCCCGCCCCAGACTTTGTCTAGACTGGATACATCTCCATTGTAAAGCAGTCAGAACATAGGTTTCTGTGACACCGAATTTAACAGAGAGGATCAGAAGGGAAATCTTGGTGTGAGGCGGATAATTTTCGTAGGTTACTGTGTTACAATCCAGCTGCTCTCTGATCTTAAACAGCCATTCAAGGCTTTGAAAACCTGGGAGCGGGAGTGCAAAGTTGACCGAAAATCTGGGTTATCTACAGGCTGATGCTCAACAAGTGCTTTTAAAAAGCAGGGGCCAACGGTGTGAAGCAGATAACACTTGGCAGTTATCTAGCACCTTCCCATTTTAGGAACTCCAAGAGCAGCAATAGCAAAGCATGGGATCTGAGTTCTAAACTCTCGTCTGGGCCCTTGCTCATGGATGGGCAGGGATTACTGGGTGGGAATTGCTAGTGTCACTCTCCAGTGACCCCTCTGGTCAATACCGGAATCACCCTGACTGGTTCTGGAAAAGGATTCATCCTTTTTGCTTGATTGGCAGGTCAGCTGTTGCTCTATTAGGCAGCAGAGGGGGCAGGGAATTCTGGGTCCCAACTGTTGGTGGAAGGAGACTCTCTAAAGGGATTTAACAGGAAGGACAGATAGACGGAAGGATTTGTGACACCTAATCTGGAACGATTCGGTCTGGGCTGTACAGAGGGACCGAGTGCCGACTGCTATCCAACCTACCTCAGCAGAAGAGAAGGGGCTGGAGTGGGGAATCAGGCTATAGAGAAGGGGTCATCGTATACTCTTGGTTACCGAGTGTCCATTTCTGTGCATGCTGCCCCAGGTGATTCAAATACAAAGCACATCATACAGGAGCGAATACCCCCATCTGGAGGGATCCCAGCTAAAAGCTTGCGAGTGGGTGGAGAAGGGGGGGATCCAAAAGCACCATTAAGGAGCTGGAGGGGTGGGGGGAGAGGGAGGTGTAGCTATGTCCAACCCAATCCTCCAGCCTCCTCCTCAGCCCTGACCCCGCTTGCCCCAGGCTGAGGGCACTTCCCTCAGGGGAAAGACTGCAAAGTGAGACGAAAACTGAGTTACAGGGAGCACCGAGTTATTTGCCACAAGCCCCTGGAGCAGGGTTGGGTGTGAGGGAGGATTGATTCAAAAGAGAAATCACTTTCAATCATTGAAACGGGAATATAAAGAGCCAGCCAGGGCTTTTAGCTACATCCAGACATGCGGGGGTGAGAGAGGTTTTTCAAGGGGCAGAGCATAGTGAGGGGAGACTCTGGGCAAGCTTGCATCTGGATCCAAACTGTGAGCAGCTGGGCTCCCATCATCACCCAGAATGCATCATTCTGTGACGCCCCTCAATGGCACATGGTGCCTGTGACAGGAGAGGGTAGGAGAACCAGCACCGAGAGGAACTTTAGAAAACGGTAAAACGTGCGTTGCCGTGCCGACTGTCCCTTGCGGCCTGCATCAGTAGGAGTCATTGGGTATCTGGAGCTGCACTTAATTCTGCATTCAGCTTGGCTTTTGCAAATTTGACTTTAGGAGATGGAAGGGGGGGAGGGTTGGAGGTGAGGGAGAAAAAGGCTGAGGTGACGTGAGAACCAGACAGGGGTACCGTGCTCGCTTTGGTGACAAGCTCCTTTGCTGAAATAAGCTCCTTAGGGTAAATCCACTGCCCTGAAAGAGCATGGAGAAAGTCCCAGAGGAGAAGCAGGTCTGCTCTAGAGATGCACCAGGAGACTAAACCCTCTCAAAAACACACCCACCTGCCTCCATCTCCCAACACTCCCCAAACGGGATCCAATCCTATAACCAGACAGTTCAGCTTGCCAAAGTCTCATTGGTGCTGGGGGGTGGGTATCAACGTCCCGTCCGGGAGGCTGGACAGAGGAACCTTTGGAAGTTTGCTGCTTTCTGCAAAGAGAAAAGCCCTTGGGCAGTGTGACTGAGGTAACAAATACACAAATAACCAATCGACAAAAATCAAGAGGGGAGAGAAGGGGTTTGGTGTTTGGATTTTTTTTTTCTTTTTTTGGCATTAATACCGTCTGTTCACCTGAACTATGGACCTTCTATCCCTAAAAATCTTTTGGTATCTTCCTGTCTTGACAAAAAAAAAAAAACAGCTTGCGCCCAGTTCGCCAGGGCTCTGGGCCCAAGTCTCTGACATGGCGAGGGTGGCAGGACCCCGGGCTGCACGCTGTCCCAGCCAGTGGGCTAACTGGAGCCGAGTGCCTGGTCTAGCTCAGCTCTGTCTGGCCACAGTGGAGGAAGGGCCCCACGACTACCTTACAGTACGTATTGCTTTAGGATTGTCCCGGTCAGCTCAGGGGGCTGAGCTCCTGTTTTGATTCATAGAGCCGAGCCAGACCCCACGCCCGCTCCTTTTGATTCTGCTGTCTCGTCCCGCTCAGCTTCACTAATACGAACCAGCACACACGACTACCCAAGCCAGGATGGCCCAGGGGACGTCTCTTCCATTCACCACCCTTTCCTTAAATGCCCTGCACCCGGGAAGGGAAGAGGGAGGCTTCACAAAGCAGGCACAGACCCTGCTCAGTGTTTCACCCCATGAGAACTTTTCATCATCGACACAGAACGGGGACGGAAGGGGAGCTGGGAGGAGGAGAAGGAACTGGATACACTGTTCTGCAGAGAAGGGCTCAAGTCTTTCCCTGAATTCAAACTGGCATTCGGCCCTCGTTTCGATCTCTGATGCCTGGGCACTGGCTTCTGAGTGGGCCCCGCTGCTGTCCTTCCAACATTTCCACCACACGAGACGGGGCGGGAGAGATGTCCTTTCTTCGTTTTCAAAGGGAACAAAACTCAAAGGCAGAGCATCCGCCCCTGCCGTGGAGTGTTTGTTTGTGTCTGGGTAAAGTGGACTGCCCCCGTGATGTTACTATGCCACTGTAGAGCAGGGCAGAGAGGGAACAGGCATCGGGAAGGCAAGAGATAAACACAGGTTGGCTATTATGTTCTCCAAGTGGTTTAGCATTTGGTGGTAAGACCCGCTGGAGGCAACAGCGTGATGGGGCTGCATAAGGTTACACAAAGCTCAGGCTCCTATGGGCGCGACCAGTTCTTTTCCTCCATAGCCAGGAAAGGAACCAAGATGGGGATGAGTGGAACTTCCAGGCCAGCCACCGGTTGGATATCTGCAGGTGGCATCTGTGAGGTGAAAAGTTTCTCCTAGTGCAAAGCCCACTGAGGGGAGAACGACTGGTGGGTTCCTGGCGTCACAGATGATTTTTTCCAAAGGGAAGGTGGCGGTGGGTGGCGGAGGCAGGGGGAATGTTCACAGAGGCATGTAGCTTGGATGTTGTCTCCGCTGCGCAGAACGTTGCTTGGGGAGAACCTCGTGTGGAACAGAGTAGTCCCATCACCACTGGAAAAGCCCAGAGCATGGACTGAGACCCAACAAAATACTGAGAAAACCAACGTGACAGGAGGCGCCTTCCTTTTGCCATGAAGTTGGAAAACAGGGTGGGGGAAATAAGGAGAAATTTTCGGACAGAAACAACCTACCATCCTCGTTCACCAATCACTAACCAAAGGGGGAGGGATTGTTTTTTTTTGTTTCTCTGCACGTCCCCCATTGTGGGAGTCTGTTAAGAGTCACCGGGCCGGGGTGGGAGGGTCTGGGGGAGGAGGGACGTGCCTTCAGCAACAGGTTGCACCGAAGAAACCCTTTTGCTTTGTCAGGTTAATGCCGAAGGTCACCTTGAGGAGATGGGAGCCATTGCTTGGTCTCCACCTGGGGGGGGGTAGGGGCGAAGTGCTTGCCCCTAGGTGAGGAGGGAGAGCCCTTAAGACAAGTCTTCCACCGGCAGCTCCTCCTCCAGGTCCCTGTCCTCCGGGATCGTCACATTCTGATTGGTGGTAGCCATGAGAGAGATGGGCCTGCTGTCGTCCTCAGCCTCGGCGGGTTCTTCCTTCACGTGGACTTGATGGCTGAAGGGAGACAAGGGAAGTTGAAGCTGAAAGCCTGTGCTGAGGGAGCGAGATGGTTTGAGGGATGGGAGATAGGGTCTGTTTAGCCTCCGGCAGTCACTGCTGGGACCAAAGGCAGTTACCCTCCAACTAATGTTCCATGTCCTGTGTGAGATGAGGTGGCAACACCCTAAAACGTCCACAATTGGCACCCTTGGCCTTCTCCAGCCATGGAGGCTGATCTCCCCCATCCAAAACGGGTGCCCCTCCCAGTTGGGGAAGAGGCACAGTAGCAGGGGCTACCCAGCCATTGCCCGGGCTGAATGAGCTCTGTCCATGCCCAGAGGCCTTCAGTCCCCAGAGCTGTCAATCCAGCCCCTTTCACCAGCCCTACTTTCAGTTAGAGTCCCTCAAAACTCTACGCTAGGATTCTGGCTCTGCTCATTAACTTCAGAAACGGACCTAAGGCAAAACCCTACCCCCTGACCTCTCCTGGACGCAGGCATTCCAACGCCGAGTTCTGCGCATGGGCCCCTATCGATCCACTCCCTGCTCCGCCCTGTCCTCTTGGCTTACAGCGTTTCATAAAAGCTACCAACGTCTCCCTTTCCCCCGGCTTTGCATTCCCACCTTCTTCCTGCTCCTACCCTAGGCGTCCACAGCTGTGACCGAGGCAGGAAAGCACCCAGGAACCGCCGCTCACCTGTACTGCTGCGGGGAAAGCCGGGGGCTGTTGCTGCCGTTGCTGTTGACTTGTTCCACGGTGCTGCTCACGTCGTCGTGGCCGATGTGCAGCATGCCGCTGGTGGAGCTGGTGTTGATCATGGTGGGGCTGTTCAGGAGGGGGAAGTTGCTCTCTGCCAGGGCTGCCTGTAACAGATGGACAGATAGTGACAGCAGCACCGTGGTGACAGCGGCAGAGTGGTGCCGGCCAATTACACATGAGTTTGGGCACCGTTTGGAGAACAGCTAGACGAAGGCTACATAGAAATTGGCTATGCCATGCCCCACCTTGGCTGCCATCCATTAACAGCTGCTCCCCAACTTACCATGAGCCCAGGAAAGGGAGAGCAAGACTCCGAGGGGGTCAATGTCTCTGCGATGGGCAGGACGCTGGGGAGGCTAGGACACCCAGCTTATTGGTAGGGAATCACTTGGGTTAATGCGCCTGGATCATCCAATACTAACCAATCGGGGGCTCCTGTGTTATTGATCACGGGAGGTAGGGCTCTCAAATTATTGGTATTCAAGAACTATGTGTTCAAAGGGGTTTGCGTTCGGGGCCTGAAGGGTTATGGGATGACTGGTGTCAGGGACCCCATAGTGCAGGGTTCTCAAACTGTATTGCACCCCAACCCCTTTCTGACAACAAAAATTGCTACACGACGCTGGGGGGGCGGAAATCAACGCTGAAGCTCAAGGGCTTCAGCCCCAGTTAGGGGGACCTGTAACCTGAGCTCCGCCACCCAAGGCTGAAGTCCAAAAGCTCAGGCTTCAGCCCTGGGCCCCAGCAAGTCTAACACCAGCCCTGGTGACCCCATTAAAATGGGGTCCCGCCCCACAGTTTGAGAACCACTGCAATAGGGCAACATGTTAATAAACCCAGCTTAGTTGGGTACATTTGATAGCTGCACGCCACGGTTTTCTCTTGCTGAGCAAAGTTGTGGGGCTTGTGGAGCGTGTCTCTCCTGGTTTGGTTTGGGCCGGGCCGTTGTACCACAGAAGAGCTCTGGCAAGAAGGAGAGGGTCTGGCAGGAGCAGAGGACAAGCCCAAGCTGACTGCTATCAGTGGAGGAGCCTTACCTGGTAGCTGGCGTTAAGTGCTCCGTAACTGAGTCCCGAAATCATGTTTTTGACTAAAGTTGGACTCCTGCAAATGAGAAACAAAAAGAAGCGGCTCTTAGCTCCTGGCCCAGGGAACGGCAGGATCAGAGATGGGGCTCTACTGAGGAGGGTAAAGCAACAGCAGACTCCTGGCACTTCAACTTCCCCACAGCGCTGCCCTGCCCATGGGCCCGTCTGGACACATGCCCTGCCGCCAGCAGAGGGAGGCAGGGAAGGAATGAAGGACGGCCATTAGACGTCTCTCCCTTGATCCATGCTGGGCTTGATCCATCCGAGCAAGCCCGGATCCGCTCATGGCTTGTTCCTGCCACCCATAACTTTCAGATAAGGAAAGGGGGTTGGCCATCATTTTAAAGGACCATCTTGCAGGCCCATACCCGGTCAATAACAGCATTTCCTTTACATTTTGGTCTCCTTCCCTCCCTCGTAGGTTTCTGTCTTTTTCCTCCCTTTGTTGGTCAGTTTCTTTCCACCCCATTTCTTTATCCTTATCGCTCTTTTCCACCCCTTAATTCTCTTCCCCCATTCTTCTTGTTTCTTTGTCTTGTCCTCTTCCCCCAAGTCTCTGCTTCTCTCCCCTCGACCCTCCAGGAGGCTGCCAGAGGCAGAAGGAGATTAGCAGTCATGCCCATGCCTCTGTGCAGCAGCTCTTCCCCGACAGTGCCAGCAGCCATGCCTTCACGTGGCTGGGGATTCTCTGCACGCTGCGTGGGTATGCACCTCGAGGGGCTTGTACGGGTGAGTGTGGCTAAGCCCATATAGTCGCATGTTGGCAAGCATGAGCGCTGTGCATACGTACCCAGCTGTGAATGCACGAGGGACTGAGCACACTTGTGAGCAGTGCATGAGGTTTAGCTTCAGAAGCTGGGCGCATGCCTGGGAAAGAGGGACGTACAAGGAAGGGCCGGGGTGGGTCAGTACCAAAGCCTGGGTCTGAAGACCCCCGAGCTGGGGTGGGGGTGGGGATTTCTGATCCAGACTTGGCAGTTCAGGCCCATCTCAGGGTTATGCTAAGGGGAGGATTGCTGAAAGAGCATGTGCTGGGTGAGGCTTGTTGTCGTGGAAATCCTGGGACGGCGCACTGCAATGATTCCTGTGTGATGGGATTCGTCTGCCACGTCTTCTCGCTAGTGCCCTGGAGGCAAGCTAGGATCCTGCCATCCCAGCTGAGCTCCCCACAGAGGAGGTTCTCAGGGGCAGGAGGGCAAGAAGAAAAACCCACCCCGTCATCTTTGGTGGCCTTCGCTTTTGGTACTCGACTTCGTCTACCGTCCAGACGGCTCCCTTGACGTTCTCCACTCGCACAAAGCACTTGTGCAGGCTCAGGTTGTGGCGCACGGCGTTCTGCAGAGGGGACAGAAGGGAGACTCAAAGCGGATGAAAGACATGCAGCAGACACCTCTCTGCCACCCACGGCATCCCCCAGATGGCCCTACTGTCAGCCAGTACTCAGCTACTCAGTGAGGTTGGCCTGTGGGTTGGGGACAGAGCTACACACTAACAGCGACCATTGCGTAGAACCACACAGAGGCTGCTCTGGAAACAGCTCCCTCGCACTTTATAAGCAGGGCAGATGGCAACCTACGGCACTCGCCGACCTAGACAGTGCTACCACCAGGATCGTCCTTAGCACTGGGACTTTTTCCATCTCCGCCTGCATGCTGGGCTGATCTGCGGGGCTCTAAGTGACAGTAGCACTGGTGAATAGTGTGGCACTGACAGCCCACCAATGGAAGCCCTCCAGACACTGCTTGGCCAACGCCAGTGCAGGTGTTTCCCACGCTACATTTCACCACTCAGGGCATCATCTCCAAGGAGGGGAGGTGGGGGCAGCGGAAAGTGTTTAGTCTTCATGGCTACTTGAGGTGTTTGGGGACATTGCTTCATGCCAGTTTGCGTCTGGCCTGAGACCTGCGTGAGAGCCATCAGAGGATGGTAAATTCTAGCCACCGATGGCCTGCCCACCATAGCCCACTGCCGATCGTTGAGAACGCGGTGCGTTCTGCTAGCCATTTGAGACAAGGAGAGTCTCATGCTGCCTCTGCCATCACTCGCTCCCTCTGCCGACGGAGAACAGCATCCCCCCTCCGGGCTCCTCGTGCTGACGTGAGGAGTGGGCTTGGGGACAAGACCCTACACTATATCTCACCCCTCCAAGGCAGGCAGGAGGCACCCTTTCTGATACCCTGCCCAGATAGCCATCTTAGGCCCTTCTATGGCCCCTGTGACTGGCATCTCAGTCTTCAATGCACTTCTCATCACACCCCTGAGAGGCAGGGCATGGCAAGAATCCCCCTTTGGCAGGTGGGGAGCTGAGGCGCAGAGACTAATTGACCTGCCCAAAGTCACACAGGAAGTGAATCATCAAGCAGGGAACAGACCCAAAGTCTCCTGAGTCCCAGGCAAATGCCCTGACCACCACGCTATCCTACTCAGCACCGCCCTCTATTCACATCCCTTAGAGGGAATATACCATCCCCCCGCCCGCCTTAACAAAAGCACTTGCTGCATCTTCCCCCAGCCAGGGAGAGGGGGAGGAGAGACGGCGGGCAGGGTCCTGCAGAAGGAACCCCCACCACCCTACTTCTCTCATCTCAGCCAACCGGCCTGGGGATAAAACAGCCTCTTGCCCCCTCCCCCCCCATCCTTTCCCTTCCCAAGGCCCAGCAACCTCGACCTTGTGATACTGCCCGGCGCTCTGAGCTCCCGCTTGCACCAACAGGAGCCGAGGGCGCTCAGCTTGTGGCAAGTTGAGGCTCTCCACGAGTCTCGGCTCGGCCAAATCTTGAGCCATTGGCGGGAGGCGGAGGGAAAGGAGAGGCAGACGGGGACAGGGAAGGGGCGAGCTGCATCAGAAAGGCACCCGAGACGCAGTCGTCATCGTTCTTAGCAAAGCGGGCGTTTTTTTTTTTTCTTTTTTTTCTTTTTAAGTCTGTTCCTTCCCTTTTTTCTTTCCGTCGCCCTTCTTTACATTTCTAAATGTAAAATAAAGAGACACACACGTAGGCAGACGGCACAGCCCCGAGAGACACCGGCTCCCCCTTTCCCCTTCCAACTCCCTGCCATTTGCTACTGCCCCTATTTCATTACCAATTTTAATTTGCCTCTAATTAAATCCTGTGTATTTTTCCGACTCACTTGCTAATCCATGAGGGAGGCAGGAGGCTGGAGTGGAATCTCTCCGAGCTATAATTACAAAGGGCCTAATCACGCCGGGGCTCTGCCTTTGAATAAATTTCCTTGCATTAAGGTTCTCAGATTCTCTGCCTTGCAAATGAGAATGACCCCAATTTCAGGAAGTTGGCCTCAGAGGGTTTTTTTTTTTTTTTATTTCGAGTCCTGATTCGTGATGAGAGACTAATTCGTTACGCTAAAACATTAACAGCAATTTAAAAGGTCGAACGGGGGCCGTATAAACAAAGGAGCCAGCCAAGACAACATGGCAAAAGGAGAGACAGGGACAGGGACCAAACCCCCCTCACTGGAAAGTGTTACAGTTCCCGAAAACTCATCCAATTGGACCGTTTCCTCCTTTTTGCATTAAAAAAAAAAAAAAAAAAAATCAAACAAAAAGTACGACTCCTCCCCGAGCCCTGAACAAATGCATCCGCTCTTGCCAAAGCAACACCATTACCCGATACATCCAGTGTGGATGCTGGGTCAGCAGCCTCTCTGCATTAGTCTTATTTCTAGTGCGGCACTGCCTGGAGGTTCCAACTGAGATCGGGGCTTCATGGTGCTAGGTGCTGTACACACAACCAGCGAGAGACAGGGCCTGCCCCAAAACAGATAAGGCATGGGAGAGAGGAAGGATTACTCCCTCTACTTTACAGATGGGGAACTGAGGCACAGAGAGATTAAGAGTAACAGTCTCAAAAGCATCGGGTATGTTTACACTGGGTTTTAAAATCCGTGCCAGCGAGTGTCCACAGACTCGGTCTCACGCTACAGCGCTAGAAACAGGGGCTTGGCCTCTGAAGCCTTGGAAGGGGTTACAAGAGTCTACACAGCTGTTTTTTAGCACTCTGTTGACCTGGGCTCAGAGACTGGCTGCTGCGGGTTTTAAAGTGTAGTGTAGACATACCACGAACGAGCCAGCAACCTTTCCCTTTGGAAAATCAGACTTAGGCTCTTAGGAGAAAGTTAGTGGGACTGAAGTTTCTTGGCGACCTTTGAAAGTGCAGCTTAGGCTCCAAAGTCACTTTGGGTAAAATATTCAGAAGTGCCTAAGTGACTAGTCCAAGGTCACAGAGGGAGTCTGTGGCAGCACAAGAAATCGAACCCAGATCCCCGGTCCAGTGCCTTAACCACAAGCCCACCTATCTCTACAGAGGTGCACAGAATGATCCATGCTCCTTCCCCATCTCCTTCCGCAGCTGTGCCAACACGCATGGGAGATGGTTCCCACGGGTGCCTCTCAGGTCCCGTATGCTGCTCCCAAACAGGGGGCACACGCAGCAAGCCAGTGGCCACTGGCAAAGAAAAGCTCTGCCATTCTCATTAGAAACAAATTTGGCGGGGAACGAGGGAGGTTCTTTCACTGGGATTCCTCCCCCATACTTCCACAGACACCAAGAAAGTGGCTCGATCGGCCCTGAGCTCCTGTGTCGAGCCAAGGTCTCCCTACTGGTTTAGGAGCCCCAAGATGTCGCTTTGGGAACCTCTCGCCCTCAGCTCTTTGGTACAGCGGCACCTCCCACCGACAGAGGCTTTGACCAGGGGGGTTTTGATGAAGAGGAGTTTGGGATTCTTGTCTCAGGAGTTTGGATGCTTGGAGGGGGATTTTTTTCCCCTGAAGGCGTCACCTGGCAGATGGGATCTGCCCTGGATCCCACTGCCCTTCAACCCGTGCCCTCTGGCTAGCAAACAGAGCTCCTCCTTTAGCACACAGCAGAATGAATAAATCTCCTGGACAGCTCCCACCTCCTCCCTTCCTGTGTGTATTTGGGATTCCTCCTTCAAACAAAGACCAGATTAAAGGAGGGAGGCACAGCAAGGCCACAACCCTTATTAAAAAATAATACCCCGGCACTGTACAGTAATGACTCGGTAACCCAAATGTAAGCAGCATCCCACCATTACCGTACAATGCTGTCATGGGCGTGTGTATATATATTAATAGAGGCACGAAGTGGGAGGAAAATGAATCAAAGTCATTTGGAGGGCCAGGCTGCGGGGAGAGGGCTGAAGAATTGAATGGAAAATAAAAGGATTTTGTTTTGTTTTTTCTAATGTAATTTATGTAATTTAACGGAGAATTCTCTTTCTTGCTGTGGAAGTCGACAGGAGGGTTCAAAATCCCTCCAGAAAGGATCGCGATCTCCATTCAGTGCGGCGGGGATTTTAGGGTAGAACCCGGCATGGATTCATCCCTACCGACTTCAACAGGGGCTTTTCCATAAAGGAAATTCTGCTCTGAGGGATGCGGATGTAAATCCATGCAAATCAATGGAGTACCCGGGTCGCTGGCTGAGAGTCGAACGGTGCCTAGGGATCCCACCTGAGATTAGGGCCCCCATGGTGCCAGGCACTGTACAAACATGTAAGGTATGTACAAAAAGCCCCCCACAGCAGCCAGTCTTAGAACCTGGTTTGGCCTCATGAGGCTCACGCTTACGGGCTAAAAATAGCAGCGTAGAGGACTGGGTTTGGGCTGAAGCCTGGGCTCTCGGACCCACCTGCTCCCCTCACTAGATTTCAGAGCCCGGGCTCCAGCCTGTACATCTAAACAGAAGCACAAGCCTGAATCAGCTCATCTGGGCTCTAAGAGTCACTGATGTAGGTGGTGTTTTTTTTTTTTAAAGCGTAAACACACCCATAGCGAGAGACAGTCCCTGCCCCAAAGGGGCTACAACCTAATCCAAGTAAGGACAGGAGAGGACAGAGACGAGACAAGATATGGTCAACAGCAGAGCTAGGATTAGAACCCAGCTTTCCTGATTCCCAGGCCAACGTCCCAGCCACTAGACCAGCCTAGTTCTCAACAGAAGCAGCTCCTTAAACAGTGACTTGCATGCAAATACATTTCAATGCAACACCCCACAGGTAGGAACGGTGTGACCCCTCCATGAATCGGTAGAGCCTCTCTCACCGGAAAGCCTACCATGTCTATCTAGGGGCCACTCATCGCTGGAGCTCCCTTTTGTCTTCCACTGGACGAGGCTCCAGATCCCATCACCTATAACGCTGCATTTCAGTGCATAGCCCAGTGTCAGGGCTTGCCTGAATGGGCTCTTATAGGCTATGTCTACACTGCAGCACACGTAGGCAGATCCGACCTAGCTTTGATCGAGCTCGCTCGCTACAAATAGCGGTGAAGGTGCAGCAGCGTGGGCGCTGGCACG